GGAATCACCCTTTTGCACCGCCAGGTCATCCAGGAAGCGAAGATGACAAACGCCTGAAGCGAATCCGTGAGCCGATTGCGCGGAGTCCGAAGCCTGTGGGACCTCAGAACGCTCCAAAAGGCTGTCACTTCACTTGGGTAGGGTTGGTTTAGCGTCCGTCTATGTTTGGTTCAGGGTTTGGGTGGGTTAGGCTTGCTTTAGGGTTGGTTTAGGGCTGGTTTGGTTTGGTCTTTAAACCGTCGAGTCTCAAACGTTTGGAACACCCTCCAAGCTGGGTGTGCAATTTCATTTGCAAATCCCACCAAGGGCCCCCCCTGGATCAAGAAAGAATCGGCTCCATGCAGCCCTTAAAGCAGCAACCAGGAGACGAGATCAACATGCCATGTCGAAGGTCAGGAACAAGGGAAAACCCTTTGATTTACCATACTGTGTGGCTTTTTTGTTTGTTTGTGATGAATCAACTGGTTATTTTCTTGAACTTGAGGACCATTCGGCAAGTTCCTGTACGAATCAATTATCGCTGGGAGGAAGTCCTCGTGCTCGTTGCACGAGCAAAAAAGCGGCGCAGCGTGGCGACTGGAGCAACGTGATGTGACTCTCCTGCGGATTAGCATGGAACCCACAAAACGGGATGTCCGGAAAAAGGAGAGGTTCCTCTGGACACGTTCTTTGGAGTCCATATGTATCAGCAGAAGGGCAGCAACGAGTGACCCACACGGCCCAACTGGAAACTTCATGAGCCAGCGCCTGGTGTTTTTGGCTGGAATGTTTAGGGAAACCCATCTCAGGTAACCGCTAACTGGTGGTTTGGATTGGTGGATTCGGATTTGCCTTAACCAGAGGCTAAGCTGACCATCAGATCAGGAAGCGTGCAAGGGCGGACTCCACTGGTTGCAATTGGAAACCCACTTTGCAGGGCTCCTTAAAAGATACATTTTGCCCATTTGAAACATGGCTTTTTCCACTAACTAAAGGAACACTACCATTTACAAGGGGGGAATCCCGCTTTTAGTTGGCTGTGGCAGCCACGGGGCAGTAGCCACCGCTGGGGGTAGGATGTCCCCCGCAGTCACATCCCGCGGTCCGGACAGAGAGCGGGACCTGCTTTGATCCAAGCGCCTCACGTGGCTCTTGAGCAGGTAATCTGGCACATACACTTCTATACTGGTGCGTCTTGCTTTTAGGGGAATACTTTTTTAGGAGAAGACATTTTTAGGGCAGACCACCATCCAAAATGGTGGCCTTCGCCTTGTAAAGCAACCCCCAAAAAAGGGTACCTTCAACAAAAAGGCGGACCCATAGGTACACGCTTCGGTTTGGATCGGTGGCTTGGGGGAGTTGCAACCCCATTTGAAGCCAAATAGGGATGGTACTCCCTAACCTTCGACCAAAGTGGCCCAAGATCTCAGGGTTTAACATTTAACAAGCATAAGATTCATGGTCAACAGGCCGGCTAAGTTTGTCGTACCCCCCGAACCAACAGCCATCGCATCTTTCAAGTCTTGAAGATCTCACTTCGGAAAGCAAAAACATCAGTAAAGGTTCTAAGATCCGTGATGTCCTTTTGGTTTTCCTTTAAACCAACCTGAAGAAGAGGGAACCCCCGAGCCCCAAGAACACACTCGCTCTTGTTCTTGCTTCATGTTTGCACCAGCCGCATTGACCGCGGACAACTTCGGCCGTCAAGAAAACCGAACCCCAAAATCAGCAAGCCAAGTGAGTGAGGGATGCATCCAGCGACTGTGCCTTCGGCTTTCCACGGGCCATGGGCGTGTGGGAGCCTTGGATCCAGGGGAACGGATCACTTCCGGGGTGCTCAAAGGGCTGAATTAAATTGAACTCAACAAGGAAAGAATGCCAGCAGCATCTCTAGCTTCAGCCGTATTTCACTTAGGCCCCTTTCGAAAGGGGATTTCAATTAGATGTTCAAGGTGATGTCCTTTTCCATGGGCTTTTTTGGGACAGTTTGGAAAAAGGGCTGGAACTGTCCCAACAAAAGCAAATACTGCAAAGCCGAGGCCTGACCAATAGAAGTCTGAGACCATCCAAACAATGTCCCCTGCAAGAATAATCCAACTTCCCAAAGGGTACCTTTTTGCTTTTCCAAAGGATCCTTTGTATTTCCAGGGATCCTTTTAGGGGCAACTTCTCCATTTCCAGTGCTCCGGTTTTTCCCGCAACAGAGACAAGGGTGCTACTCAAGCAGATTCATCTCAAAGGCCGCACTCTGCAGGACAGGGGACGCCACCCAGAGACCCAAAAAGGACACCCAAGGAGCATTAACTTTGAGAAAACCAAAAGACTCACAGTTCCTTGCGGTCCCTCCCAAGTGGCCTGGGGTTGCCTCGTTTTGTGCAAGGGAAGCTTTGAACCGAGGCGCATGATCCTCCGGCGGGGGATCCGCGAGGCATTTCGGATTTCGGGTTTCGGGAGGGGCAACGACGATTTTGGGGGGTGAAGGGTTGGGTGGGGTGGAGAGGGGTGAGGGTGCGGGGGTGGAAGGCGGTTGATGGTGGGGTTAAGAGCGATTGACTGGGATTCCCAGTGTCTTCATCAAATGATTTCGCATTTGCTTCACAAAATGGACCAGGGGCAAAAGCTGAGCATCCAAGCAAAGTCAACAGTTTGTGAGTTGGTTTAGGTATGTGTTAAGGTTGATTGGTTGGTTTGTTGCTTGGTTGTTTGTTTGCTTGCTTGGTTGGCTGGTTCCCAACCTGCCCACCCCCCTTGATATGGCCTTGTCGGACTTCGGAGGGGGAGGTTGTGGTTGGGATAACGGCCTCGCCTGGTTGCCATTTGAGATCTCGATCACCTTTGCCAGCTGGGACGTACAATTGCTCGGAATACATTTTTGTTTTGACCGCAGCAGATCCTAGATTTCTTTTGGGCGCATGAGCAACCAGAGAAACAAGATGGTCAGTTCAGAGGCAATCCAAACGATTGAACTTGAGGTTCCGAAAGGAAATAGTAGTTGATGAATGCGGGACTTCGGACAGAACGAAATATATATATACATATCCCGCTAACGACAGGGTGAACTCTCAGGAACCCATCTAAGTGGTTCAAAATTTGGAAATTTGGCCAAAGACCCAAGTCCCCTGTGTAGCGGTTGCGGGCTGGTTGAAAGTCGGGGCTTAGCCTCCAGCCTGATCCAAATTTCACACGTCGTTGCGGAACGGCAGCGCTTGTGCACGAAACCATGAAGCTGGCTGGGGTCTCCAAACTTATTTTATGCAGGGTAGACTCTCTATATATATATATACATATATGTAGACACGTATGACCCCCGCCCAGGTTTGTTCCTTTGGTAGACCTAATCATGTGTGTGTGTGTGTGAAACCCGCCCGACGGATCTCAAACAAAACAATACGAAGCAGACTCCGATCTGATTTTTGGGGCACCCAGGAGGTGGGCCAAGCTGAGCTCTGCACTTGATGCAAACCAGCCTCGGCTTGGCCAATGATGGCGTTTCGGAAGGCCCAAGTTGGAGATCTAGGGCGCTTGAATCGCAGGCCCTATGTAACACTGAAGGATTCTGCCCAAATGGTGGCTTGTTTCCTTTTGGGTCCCTTTGGAAAGGGGGGGGGGTCCACCTTTTTGAGAAACACTTATGTGAGTGTTGGTCAACTTGCCCCAATTGTAGATGGTCATTTCCGGGGTTCGCCTTCGGCCTTCGAAGGGAGGGAGCCCGCAACGTTTGCCACGTGAGGATGGGCACGCGGCTGATGGGCAAGCTGCTTCTTGCGGCGGCGCTGCATTGGAGGTGCTTTGGGGATGTGGAAACCCGATGTCGGGACACGGTGCGCCCCCTTTGCTGAATCCGAAAGGAACGGTTGAAACGGCACCGGCCTCTTCAGGTGTCGGAGTTCCATGCGAGTCTATTTGCGGGTAGAAACATGCCTGCCCGAGTGTGTGTGTGTGTGTGTGTGTGTGGATCAAGAGAGGCACACTCGGACCCGCATCCCCACAGGTTCGATCAAGTTCCTTTGAGGTTTTTCCGTCGGGAGGGCCTTGGGTTTCCTACGGAGGGGGCCTTGGCCAACCGGCTTCAGAAGGTTCCTTGAGGGACCTTTCCAAGGATTCGAATCCCAAGCCCCGAAATGGGGGGGCTAGCTTTATGTGTTTGCGCCGGTTGTCACGGGGGTCTTCCTCTCTAACCATCACCCCGTAGGCGAAACGAAAGAAACTCACTTTGAAGGGGGACCAAGGTGATGCATGACAAACCACCAGGACAAATGTAGGGGAACCCTTTTGCCAGGGCGCGGAGAGGTCAGCCAACTTTGGACAGGCCTTGGTCCGTTTGCCTGGCCCATAAAACGACGCCTTGTGTTTGAAACGCGAATGGCAGCCCCTACATAGCTCCCTAAGCCAACCCCACCCTAAACCAACCCAAAGCCCTCTCCCTCCTACCCTCCCCTCCCCCCAAACCCCACCCGACACCCACCCTAAACTACCGGTGAAACAATTAAACTAGCCCTATTCCTACTCTCTGACAGTGGGTTTATTGGTGGGCGAAGGCTTCGGGTGTTTTTACAAGCAGCCCTTGTGCCCTGGCTTGTTTGAATGCAAATGTAGGGCTTGCGTTGTTGCTTTTTGGTTTCTTTCAGGACGCTTGTCAGCCGTTGCGCGTTCGTGTGCCGCGGCTGTCTGCGTGGCTCCAATCTGTGCTCCTGCCACTGTTGCCGTGCCCGGGTTTTGGTGCCCCCGTTTACCTTGGCGGAAGTGGTTTAGGTTTGGCTTCGGGTTGGCTATCGCGTGACAAATCGGCTGCCGAAAATTGGATCAACCTTAGAACCCACCGAAGAAAAAGGAAAAACATGTGAAACAAGTTCACATTGAGGCGGTCTAAATGTCCTGCGAAATCGGGGGGGGGGGGGCTCACTTGTTTTGCAACATTCTGCCAACCATGTCGAGATCCAGGTTGTCGCTTGCCGACGAAGATGACACCGAGGTGGAGGCGCAGATGGTTTGGCGGGGTTTGACTGGCTAAAAAAGCTGCGTTGGCGTACATCAAAGCCCCAGTGTAAATGATGTCCACCCAAGGATCCCCGACTAGGAGTTTATATATTTGTGGGCGGTTTTGAAATTCAACTGGGGACCCACTTTTGATTCCTTCCGTACTTACGGGGGAGTACCAGTGCACTTTCGGGCGTTTCCCCATCCAAGCCGAGGCCCTAGTCAAGGGCGGCGATGATTCTCGGGTCCGGAATTCACATGAACCCAGCTCAGGCACCCCGATCCTTTGTGTTTGGGGGGGCTCGCCAAAAAATGTCGACCCCCGAAAAAGGGTGCCCTTTGACTATAAAAACAGGAATGGCGGTTTTCCTTTTGGCTTGCCTTTAAACCTGAAAAGAGTCCCTTTTCCGTTTGAAGGCCCACCAAAGCCCGCCCCATGCGGCGCGCCCACAGACTCCGGAATCCCTAGGCAGCTCTAGGCGTCCTTGCCGGATTGGACACTTGGTAAATAGATGGGGAACCCAAAAGTGAAACCACGCTGGTTCGATAATTTTCCCGGGCCATCCAGCCGTGTTTGCGGGATCAGGACTAGTGAAATCCCAACTAGTTAAACCAAAAGTAAGTCTATGCAAAGGAGGTCCGTGGGGGACCCTTGTTCTGTGACGGCCTCATTGTAAAACACAACGGGTTGGCAGAAAATGACACCCATCGACTGGAACCACCCTGTACGAGGAAAAAGGAGTTGACGACTATAGTAGCTTACCTTGGATGTTCAGCCAACTTAGCAAGAAGTTGTAGCCATTGTTGTAGCCAAGTGTCCAAGAAACCGGAACTTCTACAGGACAGCCTTGTTTTTGTTGGGTATGTTCCACGTTTCCTGTACATTTTCCCTTGGTTTCCAATGACCGCGGGATGGGACATTGGGCGCCCGTGAGACCTGCTGGCTCGACGACCCCTTGGGCAGCCAGAGTGCTTGGGCCCAGCAGTGCTGCAGGCGCGTGTTGGGATGACTTGGAAGTTCACATGGGGTTGGCTGTGTTTGAGGGTAGCATGTATTTGGGCTGGTTTAAAGGGAAACCAAGAGGAACGCGGGGGGTTGGGGAGGGGGGGGGGGATTTTGAGAAAGACCCGTGTGTCTTTGTTTGAACTCCTCGTGGTTGGTTTTGAAGTGAAGAATCCGTTGACAATTTTGATGTTCCCATATTGTAAGACAAACCCATATGTGTCATGGTCTATCATTGGCCATGTTCTTGCGGTGACGCAGTTGGCAGTGTGTTGTGTTGCGGGGCTTGCAAGCTTGCATGCGCCATGGTCCAAATACCCTTTTAATTAAGGTGGATAGGTGATGGCCATGCACCCCTCTCTCCAGGGATTGCTATTCTCGGGTTGGAGGGGAACACACCCCCTCTATTGGAGGGGAACCCTCTATTAGAGGGGAACACCCCCACTCTTGGAGGGGACCGCCCACTATTTGGGTTGATTCATCCGGGGTCGACGAGTTGCTTGGGGGTCGTTGATCACCTTCCTCTTGGCCAGGCCTCGCCCTTGCGGGCGCGAGGCATGCTGGGCGCCGCCCACGTTCACCTACGAGCTTCCCGGCAAGCCTCGACGAGTTTTTTTGGGGGCGACCCAAGGCAGGTGAGGCTTTTTTTTGTTGGCCCCTTTAGTTTTTTGAAATCACTGGGTGGGTTGCTGAAAGGATAGACTTGTTTTTGGCTGAGTCGAATGAAGTATTGCCAGATTTATCTTGGCGTTTCGACTTCTTGAGGTTCGCCAGTTTTCATTTCGAACAGAATAACGGCAACTGTTTTGCAGGTCTAAGTCTCGCCCATGAACACTCATGTTTTTGCTCAAGGATCGGTTGTGGCCATGTTGAATACTATATTTTTCAGTTGATATGGAGGATCCAAATCCTTGTGAGCCAATGCCAATGTTACTTTGTGGCTCACATGTGCCAAGGTCAAACGCCTTCTTACTCGCAGTTGCCAGAGATGGCCACGCATCCTTGCATTGGGGCTGCACGCAACCGACAGGCGGAGTTCTATCAATCTGGAAACTCTTAAGGAGCCACTTCCCGTTTCGGGAGTTCTGGAATTTGCCCAGATTGATGAGAGCAAATCGAGGGGGGAGGGTGAGTGGAGTCTGTGGGTTCCAGACGGAAACTGCAGCGGCCAACCTGGCGCCCAGGTTTTGCTGTGCTGGCCTCGGAAGCTCGCTCCTTCCGCTTTGCCAGGGGAAAGGGGGGGAGAAGGTGTAACTGGTAGGAGTCCTTATGGTCTATTTTGGGGGAGGGCTTAACCATCACTTGTTTTGAACCATTTTGAGAGTGAGGCTTCTTTTGGTTGGGTCATAGCTGATAACAAATCAGGAGCCCTGGGCCCCTGGATTTTTCCCTGGGTGAGGATGCATGGCCGGAGTTCTGTTTGAGAGTTTTATTTTTATTGTTTATTGTCTTGGTTTCGAAATCATCTCTTGGTGTGAAAGAAGTAAAGAAGGGGTTCCCTCAGGCTACAGCGAAGCTCTGCCTTGCCCTGGTAGATTTTGCCGCTTTGCGTCACAAAGGACACCCAATTCATGAATGGATCCAATCTTCGTCCCCCAAACGAACATGGAACCTGCAAGGTGCTCACTCAAAATTCCAGAAATGAAGGCTCCACGGTCTGCCGGTGAGCAAGCAAACAGGCCCCGTTTGTTGTTTCATGTGAAATGCGTGGGCATGACCCTCCGAATCATTCCCTACAAGAAGTCAATGGCCGCTGGTAGAGGCTATTCCCAACCATTCCGGAACCCCACAAACTTCCGCATATCCGCAGAATGGGTGCGAATCCGGCCTTGTACAAGGGTTATTGGGAGCTTCCGGAAGCGAACAGGCGCACGGGCAAGTGTATGTCTGCCTTTGCTGGTGAAGGGTCATTTTTTGGTCAAAGAGCACCCAAGTTGGATATTGCCCCAAGCTACACCTGAACTGTTTAAAGAGCCCAGAGACCACAGAAAAGCCTAAGGTCTCATTTCCAGGTCCGCTCCAAGTCCCACGTGTTTCCCTTTGAAGGTGCTTCGTTATGGTGGGTCAAAGCAAAGGCCATTTTCCTACGACGCGCTTGGTGAAACCCAAAGGCAAGCAACGCCACCAGGTGAGGAGGCCGCCTGCCGGCCCCTCCCCGTTGAGGAGGCGAGACTGTTGAGCTGTGGCATAGACGGCTCAGACTTAAGCGTTCAACCAAGGGTTGTACAGATGGATACAACTGCCAGGGATTTCACTTCTCTCCTTCTGACGGAGCATACTTGTTTTTTCATGGTCAACCATAGGTTATGCTCTATAAGTTGTAGCTGGGGCCAAGGATTTCACTTCTACCCTTCTGATCCGCAATCATCATGGCTGGGGTCTGCGTAGAGAATTTGGTCTGAAAAGCATCTGCGCTTGAGGCGATGGGCTGGAACACCAACATGGCGAATGCTATTTGGTTGAAGGAGACGCCTTCTTTGTCGCGTGCTACACCAACTGATGATCAAGCCCTAACCGACTCTCCTGCCCTGAAAGGAATCCTCGCGGCAGCCAAACTGTAGAAAGATGAGCAGGTCCTGTTTCGCCTGTTTCGCACTCTCACGGGGACGATATACACGACATTGTCTTCTTTGAAGCCGAGCCCGGAAAAGGGGACAATTATGAGTACAGCGCGCACCGAAAATCCGAACATGCCGACGATCAGCATGGATGGGAAAGTTGTCCGGGTGCGTCCTATCACGAGATTCGACGGCTGTTTGCTGGTGACCGGCAGCCGTCCCTTCAGAAGTTTTTGCCCGAGGGGACAGACAAGGCAAAGTCAAAGGTTTGCGAGGCCTGCAGCCTGGGCAAATGAGGAACAGGAAAGCTGCGACTATGAAAACACTTGAAAGCTGGTAGGAAACTTGGTCAAATCAAATCAAACCCAGAAAGCAGTATCAACAAGTCCCCTGCTCGATCTACGCCTCCGTCCCAGGAAGCCCCTGGCAACATTGAAATGCGCTGAGACAAACATAAATTTATCATTAATTGGGGGGTGCCGAAGTCCTTTGGCAGCAAACAAATAGTTCTGAAGGCTGCCTGATGATCCTATTTTGTTGCTTTTTGCAGATCCGGCACAAGGAAGCTACGAAACTATCGCCAACAGTATGAACAGTCAAACACTAATGGGAAGCTTGTTCAAAGAAAATAGTGCCCTGCTTGGTCTCCCACGCTGCTAGCCCAAAGACACCCAATTGGGCAAAGTAGTATGATAGGCTTTCGACAAGGCAACGTACCCTGCTAGGGCAAGGCTCTCGACAAGGCAACGTACGTACCCTGCTAGCACAGCACGGCAAAGTACTATGCTAGGCTCTTGACAAGGCAAAGAACCCCGCTAGCAAAAGACCCTCACTTGGGCAAAGTAGTATGCTAAATGTCCACAATGAATCGGGGGTGGCTTAGTTGTGAGGGTGCGCAGAGATGTTAATTGAAGGGTGATGCAAAGGTCATGTTCCCCTAGGCTTCAATTTTAATTACTGGGGAGTTTCTTGAAGCTCAATATAATTTGTAAATTGATCAGGCATGTCCCTGAGTACCCGATCAACATACATTAATGATTGCCCATAGCACCCCAATAGACTCATCTTTCTTTCCTTTCACTTGTTTGGTTTAAAACAAGCACTTGAAACCCTTGCAACGGGTGTTCGCTCGCATCGTCCGGAGAAATCCGAAGTCGCCACACGAATATTTATGGAGTTTTCAGAAGTTCCCACAAAGGTTCATGATAGGTGGCTCATCTGTTTTTGGGGAACCCTCTTTTGGTTGGTTTTAAAGGGACACCAGCAGGACAACCACCATTTTGGTGGGGGAGGTCCAACCTCAAAAGAAAGACGAGCCACTTCCTTGTACCAACACACGCGTTTGTGGGAGGGTACTACCCATGATAAAGGTCCGTTGATAGGGGATTCCTCCGTTTCATTTGGAGAACTGTCGCAATTTGCCCAGGAACCCAAGCATCATTCGACCGTGGCGTGATTCGCACGACAATAAATCTTCACCGTGGCACCCTTTCTACAGCTCTGCGCCAAGTTCCGTGGGCTCGGTTGCTGCGTCTCATCTTTGCAATGCCAGGTGAAGCGCGCGTTGGACGCGGTGGTTGAGGCCTATTTTGGCAGGGGGGAGCGATGGCGGCCGAGTTGAAAGTTCGTCAACTCTGCATTTCGAAGTGCTGTGGCTCCAGTTGCAGTTTTCGTAGGACGTCATCCTTCCCAACTGGTGCGAGTTTTTGCCAACAGTATGAGTAGCTGGGTTGCTCACTCAACACTTGCGCGCAAGAAAGGCCATGCCTATTCAAGAACAGCTCTTGGAAGTCTGCAGCCTTTGACACATCTTGCCCAAAGTGAGCAGAGCCCTCGTGTCTTCTTGACGGATGGGGAAAAGCTCCCAGTGGATCTGGGCTGATTGTATGATTTGGATGGATGCACATATGAGCCCATGGCATTTTTGAACTCTTTGACTGGATTCCCACGTCATAATTTGCACGTAGTCCGTGTCTTTATGAGCTCCCAGCGCTTCCAGCTCTTCTGTTTCCGAGCTTCAGTTCCCTGGCTTTGAGACTGTTCCAGGGCGGGACCAATTGTTCAAACATGCACCCACCAAACGGTTGAAATGCCCTCCCTTTGGATTCCTTTTCAATCAGAATCCAGCGGCTGTTGCTTCAACATGTTTTGCTTGCTCTGCTCCCCTTGTCTGGAACAAAGTCAAAGAAGCCACACACATGTATTGGGGGCAACCTCCCCAAGAAGTTGATTCAGAATACCCCTGGTTGCAGAGATTTTGACCCCTTTCCTTTCCCTTCCCCCTCCTTCCCCCCCTCCCTTCCCCTCCTAAGCTACTTTCTAAGTTCGGCCATCCAAAGCTTCCCCATGGTTCCCATCACCCCACCCACCTCCCCCCCCTCCCTTCCCCCCCTTCCCCTCCCCGCCCCCCTTCCCCTCCCCGCCCCCCTTCCACCCCCCCGTTCCCGCCTGTTGGCCGTGCCCACTGGCTCCCGATCCGACCCCAGTCGCTGCCCAACGCCAACGCCTCGGTGCTGGCCTTCCGCACCGCGCCGGAGGCTCGTGCGGGCGGGGCTTTGGGGGGGGGGGGGGGGGGGAGCGCGGGGTGGGGCGCTTTTACCGGGCGCTGGGTGTGCATTTTGTCTGCCCGAAAACATCAAAGGTTCCGGTTTTTGAGGAGTCAGGCTGAACAAGTCGAAATTCGGCCCTTGGAGCCAGTTCAAAAAGGCAATCAGCCCTACATTCCTACCCATTCCTGGGATCTCGTGAAACATATTGCCCTACATGTTAAGGTTCACTGCATATGGACCAGAACTTGAAACATATGTTTGGTCGGTGGGAAAGGCTGATTTTGTTTTTCCGGAACTCTGTCCACACTCCCTTCCCTCAAAACCAACAGTGGCCTTCTCTGTGTCACTTTGGCATCTCTCTTGAAGAGTTCAATGCTCAAAAGGGTACCACTCAAAAGCCCAGCTTGGCGCCTTTGCCATGTGTTCCACTTCTGCGATGCCAATACCACTGGGAAACGATTGATTTTGTTTTCATTAACATGGAAAGCACCGACCCGAAATCCGCGTTTCGGCTTCTTCTGAATTTTAATCACGAATGCAAGCTTGTGCTAGCAGGAGTTGTCTAAGCTTTAGCTTCTTTTAGAGGCTGAGCTTCCCGTGATACCAGATCTAATCAGGGATTGGGGGGGGAGGGCGGGGGGGAGGGTGTAAAAAGCCCGATTCGCAAGACCAAATCCCCCTCTGTTCCCTCTGTTCCGCCCCCGGCACGCGCGTATTCCCCATAATCTCGTCCACATGTTTGCAGCTGGGGAACCTGTCTTTCTAGACATTTCTAGACGTTCATTTCGGACTGAGCCGTTCATGTCGTCGGTTTGGCCAGGCTAGCTTTCGTTCACCCGCCTCGCAAGTGGGAAATGCCGTCCAAGATGCTTGAGCAACATCCTCCATGAAGATGATGTCCACGCAAAATGTGTCAAGGGAAGCTATGAGGTAGAAGTTAAGCTGCTGCTGCCGGCCCATCTCCCCACCCCCCATTTCAAAATGGGAACCAACCCTTCATGTCCGCCACTCAGGTTCCCATGCCCATGTCTGAGGCAAAACGACCCGGAATGGTTGGACACGTCCCCCATGTGAATGACATCATAGCCCTAAAAAGTCACACTCTGGATGGATATTTTTTGAGCCAGGTGGTTTATCAAGTGCCTAAGTCGGGATTTACATCTATTTGCTTAATAATATTTTTATTTTCCCCTGTTGGTTTTAAAGGGAATCTATCACTACTGGGCACCATTTTGTTTTCCCAGGGGTCTTTAGTAGCAAATGGAGGTTTACATCCATCCCACCTGGTGCAGCGATCCATCCCCAGGCCTTCCGCGCCATGCGGCGTTTGGAGTCGGAGGGAGTGCAGCTCGTTGCGGAGCACCAGGCGAGGGCGTGGGTATAGCTGGTGGTAACTGGGCTTGGTGCAGAGGAGGAGCCATGGTACAGACCAAGAGAGTTGGCTGGTATAGCTGGGGGTAACTTAGTGCCAGAGGAGCCATGAACCAAGAGAGTTGGCTTGAACGCCCAGGTATGGCGCCTTAAAGATGGAGGGGGTGGAGGGGGGGGGGGAACTCAGGGGGTAATATGAGAATGTACGCAATTGTGAATTGGCTTGGCAGACTTAGCGTACGAGTGACGTCACCACTTCCGCGACCACCTATGGTAAGTAGATTAAGGCTCTGACCAGTTGTGGGGAACCCAGTTGATTCAACAACCCCTGGTTGATGAAAAGGGGGGAAATTCATGGGATCCCCGGGATTCATAGCTTGATTTAATTTGATTCCGGACCAGAGGCAAGGGCACCCTTGTCGGGAGCAGGACGGCCACCTCTCACTAGAAATTTGAGAGCAGGTCACTTTGACGTGTTCATGCCGCTTTCAGTGAGTAGTTTACAACCATTCTTATAACTTATGGGGGACTAGCCCCAGTCACCCCAGTTATGACCATGATGACTACGTGGTCAGAGCCTACCCAATCAGTTAGTTGAACATGCACGAAGCATGACTTCACTTTGAACTTCTTTGCAGGTGTGCACGAGCGATAAGGAAGAAGAATCACGAAGCATGGGGTGAACGAAATCAGAACTTTCAGTCGCTCGGCGATTTGATTCTTGATTCACTTGGGAGTTCTTGAGGGCTTCGCCAACCTGAAGGCCGTGACTTAAGGTTTGTTAAGCTCTTGACCATCACTGGACGGTGCTTTGGGAGGCGGCTTGTGGGGGGTTCTTGACAAATGGGATCATCGTAATTCTTGCCTTGGCGGGTTAGACATCTTCCAAAGGGGTCCCTGAAACCTACCCCTCGAGAGGGAGGGATTGTCCGGAGCCATTGCAGCAAAGGTTCCAGACCGGCACGTTGCTTTCTTTGTGTTTGGAGGCGGGGTTACGCAAAGGCTGCCCTTTTTGAGCGCAGAAATCGACAGGTCTGGGAGTTCATCTCTTGGATTGGTCACTCAAGATAGCCAGCTCACCTAGTAAGATGAGCAGACACAGGATGACACCATTCTTGTGGATTCCTTACATTCGGTGACCCCACCCCTCTTAGAATTGTGGGTGGGTGGGTGGGTGGGTGGGTGGGTGGTGGCAACGGGGATTGTATTTTTCCACTGCCCAAAGTCTAGATCTCTCGGATCATGGTCATTTCGAGCTTGGGGCCTCAACTTAAACCTGGATTGTCGCCAATTGTCTTTTGGCGATCTGCTACCTAGGTGTTAGTTTCCCTGGGCCCAGTCGATTGACCACTGTCGTCGGTGCATCGATTGGGGTGCATAGGTACATCTTCAGGGTTGCGTAACACACTGGGCTCAATCACTACTTAATTTGCTGACCACTATCGTGACGTAGGTTTTCATTTTGAACCTGAGCACTATCATGACGTAGGTTTCGAAGTACCCCACACATTTCGGGGCGCTTGGAGTGCCGTAGCTCACATCGCCCATCGCTTTTGTTCGCTTCGCATCGGGCCGCATCGGGTCGGAGGCCTGCGCCTGCGCGATCGCGTACTTCGCCGCGGCGCTGCTGTGGCACGCCGAGGACTGAGGGCTTCGGTCGCCTTCCGGCGATTTTTTGGGATGGGACGTGTCCCACAAAAAAATGGAATGTTTTTTTGTTTAAGCGTACCAACAGTTGTTGGCGATTCCCTTGGGCAACGGGCTGGGTCTGTTTTTTTCTTTCTTGAGGGTACCAACCATTCTTTGGGGGTTTGGAGGGTACCAACTTGTTCGCTGGTTTTCAAGTGGACACCAACCGTGTGTTGGGGGTTCCCCTAGAAAAAAACACCCATATCAGGGTCCGTCAAAACATGCGGATGATCAATTTGAGGTTTGGGCCATGAAAGGACTCACCCACCACACAAACCAGGGGGACGGAACCCATATTTTCCGACGTCCAGCAGGGCAATCACTTTTTGACCATGGCTCATAAATGTTCCATGGTCAAAAGACTGATTCCTTCACATGGGGTGAACAGAGATGGTCATTCACCTGGTAGAAAGGATCCTTACTAGCTATTTCAATGATTCCTGCCTGTTTAGGAGCAATGACCATAGGCCATAGGAGAGTTCACCTCGACATGAGGGCGCTGTCAAAGCCTGAAGATCGGCGGTGCGAAGGATGTCGCTGTTGCCATCGGCGCAACTGGCACGCAGGTGGCCGATCCTGTTGGCTCGAGCCTTGCGGCGTGTGTCGTCGTGGCCGGGTTCGGATTGTTTTCAGCATGTGGGTGTGACAGTTGGAGACCACCTTACCTGTTGATGCATCCAGATTCCCGCAGACGTTTTTGTGATACAGATGTTGGCTCTTGTTTCCATTGTGGAGTACATGCCTCGAGGCGATAGGATATTCTCCAGGATGGAAACTGTGGACTGATCACCGTCCCCAGGGAGACGGGTTAGTCTGATGTCTCAACTTTTGTGCAGCAGTGTACTGTCTCGGTGCACAATACTCGGCTGGGGCAACAAAGGTTGTGGTTGTTGCTCATGCGTTGCCTGCTCTGCCAGCTGGCTCTCCGGGATGGATCTGGGATTGTGTCCCTCTTGGATTCAAGGATACTCCCCATCTTTTTCGGAGCCTCTAGTGGACCATGTTAAACGAAAAACACAAACTTGTGCCCCCTTGCAGTTCGCACAGAGCCGCAATACGCGGAGCTGCCAACGCATCCTTGCTAGTTATTGAAATCGCTACGCGATCCGCCGACGCCAGTGGACAGTCCCCTATTAATAAACTGGGGATGCGGGGATGCTGGAAATGCAAAGGATGCAACCACACAACGTACAGGAACAGACCCAATCTTCACATCCATCTCGCAAAATTGACCAAACACTGAAAATGCGAGAGATGTCGGGAATGCTGGGAATGCAGCCGGCTAGCCACAAAAAAATGCAAACAAAAGCAGGGTTTTTCGATATTTCAACCATCAAAAACCGATACAAGCAACCCCCCTCAAATACCCTAAAAATAGACTTCCAAAAGCACGATAATGCAAGGGATGTTTCGCAGTAACTGACTCATTTTTGCAAATTTCAACAGTTCCTCAAAGTATCACTGCACTGGACCCCACCAAAACCCCTAACAGGCCAATTCCAACATCGCTTGAAACATCAAAACACCACTAGCATCTGCAAAAAAAGAGACAAACTCATGGAAACAAGATACTCCTGATGATGCTGGGGATGCAGATCCTGCGCGTGCGGATAGAGCGTGTAGATGGCAGTCTGCAACTTGGTTTTCCTTCGGATCTCTTATCAAAGCCGAAGGTTTTTGGGGCTGCCATTTTTTGGGCATGGTGTGCTGGGTGTCCCAAACCCTGTAAATTTTCAGTTATTTTGGGGCTTGCGTGCTAAGAATATGTGTTTCGATCAGGTCTCTACAAACCATCATCACCTGTACGGAGCAGTTACTGCGAAACATCCCTTGCATTATCGTGCTTTTGGACGTCTATTTAGGGTATTTGAGGGGGGTTGCTAGTATCGGCTTTTGATGGTTGATTTTGGGAAATATCGAAAAACCTTATTTTTTGCATTGGTCTTCCTTCGGAATCTCTTATCAAAGCCGAAGGCTTTTGGGACTGCTATTTTTTGGGCATGCTGTGCTGGGTGTCCAAAACGTGCTAAAAATCTGCGTTTCGCCTAGGTCTCAAGGGGGGGGCGGGTTCCCCCGGACGCACAGGATCTGCATCCCCAGCATCATCAGGATTATCTTGTTGCCATGGATGCTAGTGGTGTTTTGCTGTTTCAAGCGATGTTTTGGAATTGGCCTGTTAGGGGTTTGGGTAGGGCCAAGTGCAGTGATACTTTGAAGAACTGTTGAAATTTTCAAAAATGAGTGTTTTTGCAATTCCCCATCGGTACGGAGCAGTTACTGCGAAACAGCCCCTGCATTATGGTGCTCTTGGAAGTCTGTTTTTAGGGTATTTGAGGGGGGTTGCTAATATCAGTTTTTCACGGTTGCTTTTCGGAAATATCGAAAAACCCGTTTTTTTTTTTTGGCATTTTTTTTTGGCTAGCCGGCTGCATTCCCAGCATTCCCCACATCTCTGGTATTTTCTGTGTTTGGTCAATGTTGCGTGTCTGAAAGTCTTAAAATCTTGAGCGCAAAGATTGGGTCTGTTCCTGTAAGTTGTGGTTGACATCCCTTGCATTTCCAGCATCCTCAGCATATCTGGGACATGAAAAACAGGAAAGTGCCAAGAAGGCCTTGTTGCACTTACAAAAAATGGGGCCTTGCTTTTATACCCTGTCGGGGGGTGGTTTAAAGAGCAGACGCTAGTGTTCGTCTCCAGTGCTGACTCCAGATTGATCAGCCTCAGTTTATTAATAGGGGACTGTCCGCTGGCGTCGGCGGATCGCGTAGCGACTTCAATAGCAGTCCCGAAAGCCTTCGGCTTTGATAAGAGATTCCGAAGGAAGACCAAGTTGCAGATTGCCATCTACACGCTCGACTGGCGTCGGCGGATTTCGCGACTCATGTTGTTTTTCCTCTCACCAATTCTCGTGGAGCCCACCAGAAGGTCTGTCAGAGGAACCAGTCCGTGCGAGAGGCTAGCTTTATGTTCTCTGGTTCTGTTCATGGGTGGCTGCAACAAGGTCCGAATATCGCAAGCAAGCCAAAACAAAAGACCATGATAAACGACATTTTCCCTGTATTGGAGAAACCGTACGGAGGGCCGGAAAGGTCAAAAGTGCGAGTGGCTTCAAAAACACTGCAACCACATGCGGCGGTGTCCCTATCTGGGTTTCTCTGAGAAGGATCTCCGAACTGTTTGGCTTTGCTTGGGTTTCCCTTTAAAAATATCAAAAAAGGAGTCAGCAGTCCCAAACCTTCGAGCGAACCTGCCCTTTTGTGTGTCTCAAATATGTTCCCCGAAAGGAAAGAGGTCACCCCCCCCACCCCACCCCAAAACAAAGAACAACTCGTTTTGCAATCACACGGGTTTCGGATCAGGAATAGGGATCCCCCAATGTCCATTTTCGGGTTCCAACCTTAAAACAGACACACTCAACACACCCACAAAAAGGCACGGCACATCCGTCGACGTCTCTCTTGAGCCGTCAGGACAGCCCGAAATTGGCCACAGCTGTTGGGCCGAGGCTCGGAAAACGTGCGGAGGGAAGGCTTGCTGAAGGGATTTGGGTCTGTGTTGCTTTAAGGCCGCCACTTTTGGGGGTTGTTTTAAAGGAAGCCGAAGGAAACCTCTCCTCACATTGTTGGGCGTCCCATGTTTGACACGTACCAATGGTGTCCCCCCCCCCCATTTTGGTTTGGCACCAGGGTTGCTCTTTCCGCAGGAACAGAGTGCCATTCAACCCCGACGCTGGTTCCAAACGTTGGGGCAGTTTGGCACCAGGACTGCTCAAGGGGAGGCTGATTTGAAGGATCAGGGAAGCCAAAAGGAAAACCACTATTTGTCGGGTCCCCCCATTTCGACATTGCGTCACTCCTTTAAGAAGTGGCACCCAAGTTTCATGTTGCGTCGCGCTTTCACGGCGCCGTACCCGGAAGACCAAGCTAGTCACTTTTCTCAGTGGGTTCGCCAAACGTTCGCCAGAATGTCAGGGCCCCCTCAATGATGTCATCCCGGGCAAGGGGTCCATGGGCTCTTTGAACTGGCTCAAAATGCGGCCATTTCCTGACAATATTGGGATGGAGGTTTCCGCCCCCGGCAGGGAAGGGGTGTGATTTGGACAGGAAAAGAGAACCCCGACCCAGAAGAATGTGAATATGTGTTTCCTTTTGGTCTTCTTTTAAAGGCCCAAAGGAGATTGCAACTTGGCTTCGTGTTCCGTGACCATAGGAAAAGGCAGACCTCCTCAGTTTTCAGCCTGGTGGACAGGGGGAATGTTCCCCGAAGTGAAGGGATCCTCTCTAAAGCGCCTTGCTCCCCCCCATCAAACGCAGGGTTTATTCATCGACTGGGTGCATCGCCTCCTTTAAAACGGTTCTGTCTTTTACAGTGAGCTCAACACGAATCAGCATCTGAAGTTCTGATTTTGGTGCAGCCTTGAGTGGGCTTCCCCAAAGACGTTGTTTGGATCCCCAACAACTTGGGCATCCGATGTCGCCGGTCACCCGGGGCTTCCCCGCTTGGCCTCCGGTCACCCGTGGCAGCGCCGCTTTGGGCGGTGCAGGTGGTTCCTCTTCGGGATCGAGTGGGGCAACCTCCTGGTGGAGGGCTGGGCCGGGATCTTCGGGCCGGGGCCTGAGGCGGAGCCTGGGTCCAGTGGCATTTGATATCTTTGGCCCTCTGATGATGGGAGGAAAGGCTTAGGGTTGACCAATGTTTTTTTTGGGGGTGCCGTCCCACAGGGTGTCCCTCAGACGATGCGAGGACAGATTTTTTTGGTTCCAAGGTTAAGGGTTGAGCTTGGGGTTGGGAACCCCCCTCCACCAGATTGATTGAAGGGTCGACATTCACAGGGCACGGAGCCCCTGTTTTCATGGATTCCCTTGTCAAGTGCGCCGACGGATTCTTTATGATTCCTTGGGGTGGGGTCAAGTCCCAACCTGCAAAGAAGACTCTTAGTTAACTCGATGTGGACCCATCATCTTGTTCCGGAGCATCGGACGTGAATTCTGGTTGATGTCCACTTTGTGGGTTCCCTTTATGAGTACTTTTTGCTCGGGAGCCATTCTGAAGGCGTGTCACAACTTGAACATGACATGTCCTAACCGGGGATTTGTTTTTGCTACCCTTTTTTGGGGTGGTTTCAAGGGCCCCTGTTTTGACATGCCCAACTGGCCTTTGACCCTCGCAAGAAAAGGCAGTTTGGGTGCTGCTCAAACGGTAGCTACAGCGGTGGCCAGAGAAGTAGATGGCACAAATCACCTTTGGCCGATCGCAAGATCACTTGGCTACATCCACCGGTTCCTACCACGGACACCGACCAACCAATCAACTTCGGATTAACCCCAAGGACCACTGCAAATCCTGTGGCGAGCCCGGGCTGGGGGTGGCATCAATCAGATAGGGACTCCTTTGACTATTACGGTCCTCCGCATTAATCCGAGCTCAACATTAGTGCGCTTCAACCGCCCCTGGTCACCTAGGTGGTTGGATCGCTTTTCCGCGGAAGAAGGCCGCGCGTGCGCCGATGGACTCGTCAGGTTGGTAGGGTCATTAACCGTTTTTTGGATATGGGAGTCAACCATTCTGTGCTGTCAAAAGGCAACATAAGGCAACCCTGAATGCTTTCCTCGGGTCAGTTAGGATTTGAGTCAACCATTCTGGGCTGTTATATGGTCAATCCTTATGGTTTGTAGAGGTTTTCTGATGAATCTGAAGCACACCAGGACCTAAAAGGGGGGCCGGGCTATGTGGCGGGGGCGGAGCTTCGAGGCCCTTCGGACGAGGCTCAAAACAGGAGGTGGAGCTCGAACTCCCCAAACGGAGCGTGTTTCCCTTCCGCCAAACAGGGCACAAGGCATGCTGGGCAATGGTGGGGGTTGAAAACCCGCTCACCTCCCCTTCTCAGCTCCCTATCTCTGTGCCGTTTTTGGTTGCTCGAAATGGAAGCCGAAGGGATACGCAGATCCTCAAAAACAATCCTAGGGTCAGTCGGGTGGTGGGGGGGGGCACATGGCTTCCAGGCGAGAGGATCCAGCACGTGGTGCATTATGGTGCAGAGCTCGGCAGAGCTCGAGCTTAACCCCATGGCAGCAGACGGCGCTACAACAACGAAAACACACATCCCACAACAAATACAAGCCCAAAGCAGAAGCACTAACGAAGATCCACGACGAACCGGAAAGCCACAATGGGTTGTGGTTTCAGCGTCTCAGGTAGAGTTAAGCCCAGTGGTTGATGTCCAGGAGTTAAACCGCGGGGTTCAATTAGTATAGCTCAAGATGGACCTCTGAGCATAGGGTTTGTTTCAGGAGATGATTCCGAGATAACCATACGATGAGGTCAAGATGACCAGTGCATTTTTCTGTGCCTGGGGTTTTGAACCTAAACTGCTGGTAAGATCAATTTGATTTGTGACTTCCCCCAAAGCGGGTGACGTTGGGCCGGACATGGGGCCTCACGGCCTCCATTGCAGGGGATCTTTTGCCGATGCATGAGCATCTGACAAAATTACTGGTAGTGTATGGTTAAGTTTTTTTTTGGTGTTTTTTTTCCTTGGGGGGGCCTCTTGGGGAACCAAGTAATTTTGCATTAGGGTCAGGGAGATGTCCATCCAAGGGGACGAAAAGAGTCCCATGAGGTTTTGGAGAGGCTGCTGGGTATGAGCTTAAATCGGTTGGACAGTTTGATGGACATCAGGGCCAATCATTTTTGAGTTGGTGTTACAACCAAGACTCATAGCATGTTTCTGGAAAACGGGTTTTAGGGCCACTTTCTGTGCTACCAAATGGGCCCCATCTAATGTGATAAAGTAGTCATGCGGATGGCCCGCAGAGGTATCACAGGGGTCATTTTAGGATTTTTTTCCACATGCATCATAGCCGCAGCTGTTCAACCTTCAAGCTTTTGTTTTGTTCTGTCTTCCTGGCGTTTTAAGTTTTGTTTGCCCTTCCACATAAAAAGTGCAGAGGAACCCATGCTTGGCGTCCCAGACAGAAAGCCCTAAGGGATGGTTTATGGGGGGTTATTCCCTCATTCCCTGCTGAGAACCAGCAAGATGAGTTTTAGATTTAGAGAGTTGACCGACCATAGGCTGAGGGTGTCCAATCTGTCGTCTTCTCAACAACTTTAGCCAGGAGTGGTGCCGGAACCTGCGGAGGCTCCGGAGTCAGCTTGTTTTTTTTTTGGGGGGGGTGGGGGGGTTTTCTGGCGCTAGCCAGCCGCTAGAGCCTCCCAGAGTCTTGAAACAGATCAAACCAAGGGTTAAAAAGCTGATGTTTGACACATCCGTGCAACGCGCCAAACAAGGCCTCGACTTCATAGTTGCTTACCCTTTTCTATTTCAAGAGGATGGCACTCCAAAAAGCCAGTCCACTCAGCTTTCGAAGCTTTTGAACGAGCTCTTTTTCATGGGAGAAGAGACAATTGAGCTATTGCCAGTGACTCATAGTGGCTATGGGCAAGGACCAAGGGTGACTTTCCCATGCCTCCACCTTGCTACTGGGCAAAATCCATGGATCAGGTGGCAAACCATCAATATTCAAATCGGGTTCCGCCATTTGGTGCCTTTTGTGGAATTTTCTCAGGGTACTCCCCGCTGAAAAACATACAACCTTGGCTCACCATACCAAGCGCGGACCGTCCGCGGATAGGCAGAACTGGAGAAGCGGCGCCTGGACTTGATGGAGGTTATGCGGCAAGAACAGGCGGAGGCAGGCGTGGCAGCCGGAAAGCCCCCAAAAACATCGCCGTTTTGTGCCGTTCCAGGCGAGTTGCCGTTGCTGGGGGCGATATGTCAACGGGACATTTTGGGATCTCTAGAAAGAGGGGGGGAGGTGCGGGAGGCGGTTTCTGGTGGAAGGGGCGGACACAGAGGCGATGTTGCAGCAGACCCGAAAAAATCAATACATTTAGCAGCCCTAGAGCCTCAAACCCAATACAACATCGACCTTAGTTCCCCACCATACAGGGGGGATTCGAATGTTCCAGGAAAGCCGAAGCGCCTTTTGGGGACTTTTTTGGGGGTTTCATGTGAATTTCCAGGCGTTTTGGGATCTTGGGGCTCGGAACATTGGAGGCACACAACCAGGAGCGATGGGGTCTCAATTTCCTGTTTCATGGGGGCGCCCCCCAGGCGGTCGGGGAGCAGTTGTTTTGCATGATCTAGCTGAGCAACTGAAGGTATCCATTGGGGAAGCCCTGGGCCCCGAATTCTCCTGACAAAAGCCTGGGCCAACCAGAAAAGCAGGGATGGGGTTGTCCTTGTAAGCCAACGACGCCCCCGTTTCGTGGATTCCCCTCTTGAAGTGCTCAGACTGATTCTCAACGGGGTTGGATTTGAAGCTGTAGGTTTTCGAAGGCTAAGCCAGTACCCAGACACCCAGTGGCTTGCTTCCATTTTGCCTTTTTGTTTATCAATCAAAAAACGGCGTGAAATGTTAGAAGCGTAGCTTGCGGCAGGCTCACTTTGCAAATTGGGGCGGGCAACACCTGAACGGAGTTCACCCCATGCCTGTGACAACTTATGAAGATCTGCTAGTTTGATGGGCAGAGAATCAATTTCCAGGGGGTTTTGGGAATGAACCGGAAGGAGATCTTGAACAAAGGAAGCCACAAGGGATGGCCAGAAGGTGTGCTTTCTTGCTTGGAGACACTTTACCTAAACGCAGTCACAGGGAGCAAAGCTGCAATCATAGGTGTCCTTTTTGGTTGGTTGGCTTAAAAATTAGAGGGCCCTGGTCTAGATGAGGTTTATTCCATTTACCAGGGCCATCTATTTTTCCAGGAGCCACCTATGGCTGCAAGTGGAAGTCCAGGGAGTTTCTGACATATGCTTCCCGACTTGTTCATGTGGTCATGATCATATTGCTACGAAATTCGACAAGGCACCACCTTGAATTGGTGGGTGGGCATGCATCCCCACCTCCGCCAAAGGGCCGCATTTTAAAATGTATACCCAAATTGCCGTCTCCAAACACAAGAATGACATGTTTTCAATTCAACACCCAAAAATATATATAATGTGATTAGCCATGCATTTCAGGTGACTACCGGCATGTTGCGATAGCAACTATCCGGTGCCACTTTGGCTCAAGTTTGCGGGTCCGTCGCGCCTCGGATGAGCGTCGCCGGGTCCCCGCGTCGATCACCTTCGTGTCGGTGGAGAAAGAGACATCGGCCCGGGGCAGATTGGTGGGGTCCGCCCGTGCGGTTCATCGTCGATCAAGGTTGCGGGTACTTGTTTACTTGTTTAGGTTTTTCCCTTTTGGTTGTTGTTCTCTGGTGTGTGGGAAACTCTGATCTTTGGGACCGGGGATTGGTTTGCTTTTGGGGAACCTTTCTTTTGTGGCTTGTTTACCCCAACTTACCCATTGCCTGGGCACAGGCTCGTGCCCGAATCACAGGTTATCAGCCGTAGGACTTTCCTACGCGCTTGAGACCATCAACTACAAGCTCTATGTCGACCCCACGATCACACAGGAGTGTCGTGGATGAGGAGGCCATCCTAGGGGGCCTCCGCTCAGGTGAGGACCTACCGGACTTCGACTATGAGGATTTCGAAGCAGGTTCGGCAGGTCAGGACCGCAGGGGTGAAGATCCCGGTAGGGACACACCCAGGAGCCGTGGCAGGTACACCGACGATGGAGACGATCGCATTTTCCGTCAGGCCACTGATGATGAGCAGACACGAAGGGTTCGCTCCGATAGGAGCGGCTCTGAATCAGGTCACAGGCGCGGACAGTTCGACTTCATCAGCATGGCGATGAATATGGCCCGCCCTCATTCGGACGACCCGGAGGCCATGCCGACCCGACCCCCGAGACCTCTTGTTCCAGGTGAATCGCAGGTCTCGGATGAGTTTGAGGACAGGCCGCGGGGACCAGGGACTATGGTTTTGGCTCCGGGAGGTATCTCGGGTCGATCACCTGGCTCTCAAAATCCAGGTCAGTTTGATGAGCACGAGGAGCGGAAGTTCGCAGGTTTCGGATACGATGCCCTGTTGAAATCGACCGCAGGCTGGGGCAGTAGCTCAAAGCAGGGATCTGATGCCGATAGGCCCAATCTCAATACTGCCAAGTCTGAATTTTATGATGGTGAAGACTACAACTTTGCGGATGAGGAGGAGGACCATTCGCGCCGAAATGCGGGAAACCGTACTACTGCAAGGCCTAGCCCTGCCGCTGCCAAGTTTGAGTTCGATGATGATGATGAATATGCCGCATTTGCGGATCGTCGTGATGAGGAAGAGAACCAATCACGCCGAAATGCTAGGATCCGTGCTGCTGCGAGGCCCAGGAGCCTCTCTCGTGGAGCTGCCAGGGACCTTCATGTTGACAGGGACGCCCGGAGCGAGAGAGAGAGAGCCAGGGATAGCCGGGAAGTTCTTAGGGGATTGGAGGCCATCCATGACCGGGAGGGACCGATAGGTCCCCCAGTGATTGGTGATACCCCGAATGTTCCCCCTTGTCCCAATATTACATTTGGAGGTCCGCCGCATCAGGGAGACGAGAACTCGAACCGGGTTACTGGTTCGCCAAGGATCACTGAACGGGCCGCCGATGTCGTTGGGACAGGTGCAAGAGATGGTCGGCTTGCCGATGCACTCGGTATCGAAGATCGTCCGTCGATCGCTAGCCCGTTAGGGCGAGATACCAGTGACCTTGAAACGCTAAGGTCTAGCAACGAGTTCACACCTCAATGGGGCTCGACCGCCAGGGAACGTAGTGCTTCTGCGAAGAGGCCGTCACCCCTGGCCATTGAGACCGATAGGTCAAAGGCGAGGAGGGCTAGCCCCTCACCAATGGGTTCAACTCCGCAGGATGAGGAGATGCCGGATCCTGCTGATGTTCACATTCACTCTACTCCCGAGTCTCGTGCATCCAACATTGATCCCCGATCTGGAGATAGCCGGAGAAGGGGATCTACCCCTAGCAGGCCGCCCAGGATAGGTGATAGTCCTATAGGCGAACCCAGAAGACTTGCTAAAGCTAGTGGGGCTCCTGAGAGGATCGAGATATCGACTCCTCCAGCACGCAGGTCCCATTCTTCCGGTGAGTCAGGTGACGCCAGGGCAAAGGAGGTGTTTGATTTGCACATCCAGGAGATGCTCGAGAGGGGTGAGGTGTCTAGTTCAGTCGCGAAAGCGTTCCATGTCTTTGCTGACCAAATCAGGTTACTGAACGGTCAGGTGGGTTCCATGCGAAAGGAGTGGAGCGACGAGAATCAGCAGACGAAGGACAGGGTCAATCGTTTGGCGACTGAGGTTGCGACTCAATCTGATGCCGGTAGGATGCGAATGATAGTTCAACGGTTTGCCAGCGAAGTTATTCCTGACAGCAAGGCCATTGTGAGGCAAGCCATCGATGAACAAGCTGAAATCGTGGATGAGAGGATCAATCTGCTTTCCCACGAGGTTCATGAGTCTGTTAAGGACAGTGAAATCGCAACAGATCAGCTTCGTCAGATGATTCGAGAGAATCGTGAGGCCACCCGCAGGAGCCATGCTGCTTCCGAGGATGAGATCCATAAGGACTTGGACAAGCTTGAGGGGCGGATGTTCTCGGTAGAGAAAACCGTTGGGATGCGGACGCCAGCAGGTGAGTGGGATTTGAATCCTGCTGTGCAACCGCCCGATAGGGCTACCAGCAGCGGGGCAAACGCGAGTTTCAGGGAGTTAAACCTGAAGCTCGAGAAGGTTCTTCTTGAACACGAGAAGTTTGCTAAGTGGGCCTCCGAATCTAGTGGTGGTATTAATGAAGAACAAATCATTCTTGCTGATCGAATGTCGAGGCTGCAAAGTGGGAGGGGGTCCCAGGCGGTCGATAGACCATCAGGGCCTGTTTCCCCGCAGGACTGGCATGAAGCAATTGACGAGGTCAATCGAAAGGTCCAGGATCTATCTCGCGGAGTTCAACGCCAACATCGGCATCACGACGATGTCATCGCGAGATTTGAGACCGTGAAGTCCCATGTTGAGCAGTATGAAGCGAGATCGGGAATTCTGAACCAGGTCCTTGATGACATCAGAGGACAGATCCGTAATCTCCCTGCGAATAGTGATCAAGCGCGGTCTGCCGTTAGGCGTGAACTCGATTCATTTCGGAACACGCTTGAAGGCGCAGTGCGGAGAATCACTACTGTCGAGAGTAACGTGCGTACTCTTAATGGAATGAACAACAGGATCATGGCTCAGCTCTCTGAAATTGAAGGTCATGTTGATGAGGCTGCTGACATTATTCAGGGTGTCCAGGACAATCAGATGAATCCTCAACAACCCAGAGAAAGACGGAATGTTGGATACAATGCTTTTGCGGGGCAGGGACATAGAATCAGGTCTCCGACGCCCACTCCCGGAGAAGGTAACGGTCGGGGTACTGGCCTTCCGGTGAGACCGGGCGGGGGTGTTGATTTGGCTGATCATGTTTTGCCAAATGTGCCCGGTAGGGTCGATCCTTCTCATGCAGGCAGGCATCCCATTCATCCCGATAGGGAGAGGGCTGACAGCAGAAGCAGGGGTGTGGGTAGGAATAGGAGCCCGAGGCCTGCCGTCCCCGATAGGGGATCTGAGGTCCGGAGTCGGGGGGGGGAAGGCCAATCCGCGATAGCGGGAGCATTTCTCCGAACCTGGATAGGCCGATCCGCGATAGCGGGAGCGTCTCTCCGAACCCAGACCGTCATCCAGGAGGTGGTAGGGGTGATCATGCCGACATCC